TGGTGGTGGAAGCAAAGGGGCTTGGGAGCTCCACTTTCGGCAGCAGGTCTGGGAAAGGGGCGGCCGGCCCCACGTCTGGCCATGAAGGGGGTAAGAAGAAGCCCCTGAAACAGCCTAAGAAGCAGACCAAGGAGATGAATGAGGAAGATAAGGTTTTCAAGCAGAAACAAAAAGAATAGAAGAAACTAGAACTAAAAGCAAAGGTTCCCTGGCCACCGGTGGAATTAAGAAATCTGGCAAAAAACAAGACTGAAGCAATGATGAACCTTACTTCGATTCCTTTTTTAAAACATCTGGATTCTCTGTTATAACATCTATTGCCACCTGTAGTTAAACGAAGTGTTGTCTTGGAGCCTGTTGTACGATTAAGAATAAAATTTTGTGAAATAGTCAAGAAGAAGAAGAAACCCTATGATGGTCCATCTCCAGTTCTCAATTAGCCTTTCCGATCTTAACTGTGCAGCCAAAGTAAATACAATTCTGAATCCTGTGAAAATCTCATCTTCATTCTTTGTTATGCTCAGAATTCTGTATCACGCAGAATTAAACCAACTCATTTGAAAAAAAAAAAAGAGGGTGGCCTGTGAGGGCTGGAGCCACTGAGCGCTTGTCTGTGTAGTAAGTGGTCAGGAAAATGCTCTTTGAACTTTATTCTTTTTAAAAAATATTTATTATTAATTTCAATGAAAATTTACAGAGACTTTGGATTTCCATTCATTCATTGTTGCACTTTTCTCCCCTCCCAACCCTGCCCCCTAGTACACTCCCCTCTTGGAAAAGTAAAATTCTTTCATTGTTTTACAATCCCTCCCCTAGGTCCACTCTATCGTGTAGCCTTCACTCTAGACTCCTGTCATGATAAAAATACCTAATCACATATCCCTTTTAAGCCGTTTTCTCCCTCATCTGTTTCAATGCAGTATACATTATTGAGCCCATCTTTCTCAGTCTCCCCCCAACCCCTATGTCAGTCCTGTTTTACAACATGGCACCATGCAGTATTTGTCCTTTTGTGACTGAGATACTTCACTCAGCATAATGTCCTCCAGGGTCACCCATTTTGAATAATATTTCATGAGTTCCTTGTTTTTCAATGCAATGTAGTATTCCACTGTGTGAATATAGCACAGCTTCTTTATCCATTCATTTGTTGATGGACACTTAGGTTGTTTCCAACTCTTTGTTATTGTGAACAAAGCCATGATAAACATGGGTGTACATTAACTTTATTCTTAAAGAAGCAGCAAATGGAAATTCCCCAAGAGCAAACTAACTCATCCTGGGGGCAGCCAATGGCTTAGATGGCCTCTGGTCTGGGCTCCAGGCCAGCTCAGCTGTTGCCATGGCTGAAGGGACTTGAAAAATCCACCCCCAGAATGGAGGGAGGTAGATTCCCTCCTCTCTCAAAACAAACATACTTTATTTTGATGACATAAAACTTAAAACACATTTAAATAGCATCATGTGTACATTACATAATATAACCTCTCGCTCTTTGCCATTGAGTCAGAACCAAGTCATAGGAAGTCCCCTTGGGTTTCTGAGGCTGGGAGCACATCAGAAGAGACCACCCATCTTTCCCCCTTGGAGCCACTAGTGGATTTGAACCACCAGAGGTGAGACTTTCGAGTTAGCAACACAGTTTGCTACAGACTAGGCCACCAGAGCTCCTAGTGACCCTACGACATGGGACAGCTGCTCAAAGGGTTCCCAAAGACGGAATCTTTACGGAAGCAAGTTGCTAACACCTTTGGTTGAAGGATCAGCTTTTGGATTCAAACAGCTGACTTTTTGGTTCGTCACCAAATGTTTAACTATGTGTCACACAATATACTTACTATACATACTTAATATAATAAATGTACATTACAATAAATATACAATATAATAAAGATATAATACAATAAATATACAATATCATATCATATCATATAACAGACTATAAAATATTATGGTATGATAATATATTAAAAATAATTAGCAAAATGAGAAAGAAATCTCTATAGAACCAGATCTCCAGGTCTTTCTCCTTTGGAGGAGATGAAAGGACATGAACCGTCAATTTTTTGGTTAATCATCTGCCCACCGGGGCTTGATAGCACACGAAAACAACATATATCTTATCGTATCACATCATATTACATCACATCACATCGTTATACACCATTGAGTTGTAACTGACCCATAGCTGACCGTTCAGTGGGTTTTCAGAGGCAGTACATCACACAGGAGGAGATTGCCCATTTTCTACTGCGGAGCAGCTGGTGGATTTAAAAACTGTGTGTCTGAGGGATGGCCCCACCACTCTCTAGCGAAGAGAATTAGCAGTGCAAACCCCCAAGGCCTACGCCACCAGAGCTCCCTTCTTTAGAAACAGAGCTCCTGTCCTAAAGAGCCGAGAAAACGAACCCAGTGCAGCAGTTCCACTCCGTCACATGGAGGCACAGAAGCCAAATTCTACTTGATGGTACCTAACAACAGTAGAACAGAGATTAACAGAGATGAAAAAAGAAAAACAAAATAGGAGACAAATGCTTGTCAAATATCAACTGTTCAGGATGAACCTATGGATTTAGGAACAAGCTAGTAAAAATACCAGTGAATTCAACTTGGTATATGACTTTTGTGGATTTGGGCTTTTTGCCTTCCTCCCCACCCCCCGATCAACTTTTATTGGAGGGCAAGTGAGATTGTTATTGTTGATGTTACTGAGTGTCATTGAGTCAGTTCCAACTCATAGCGACCCTATATACAATTCAAGGACGCCTCCCAGTCCTGTGTCATCTTCACTGTGTTGCTGTGTTTGAGCCCTTTGTGTGACCACTGCACTAATCCAGGGCCATTCCTAGGGTCAACGCTCACACTCACTGCCATTGTGTGGGAATCGAAGCATAGCTGACCCATCATGGGGTTTCTGAGGCTGTAAAGCTCATGGAAGGAGACTGCCCATCATTCTCTCAAGAAAAGAATGCCACAGTGGCTTAGTCTACATACTATGCCCCCAGAGTTGTTATGTTGTTGTTGTTATGTGCTGTCAGGTCACTTGCAACTCATAGCAACTGTAAGTACAATAGCGCTGAGCCCTGCTCTGTCCTGTGCCAACCTCACTGCCTCTGACACTCTTATCCCCATAACTCTGTCACTGAATCAATCTATCTCATCGAGGATCTTCCTCTCCTGTGCTGTCCCTCCACCCTCTCAAGCACGACGTCCCTCTCCAAGAACTGGTTCCTTCTTGCAACATGGCCAAAGTGTGTCAGACGAAGCCTCAGAATCCTTGGCTCCAAAGAGCAGCCTGGCTTTACCCTATCTAGGACAAAGCTGTTTGTTCTCCTCGTAGTCCATGGTATATTCAATACTCTTCTCCAGCACCACAGCTCAAAGGCATCTATTCTCATACTATTATCTCTAGTCATTGTCCAGATTTCTGATTCATAGCAAGTAACTGTGAAGACGATGGCCTGGATCAGGTGCACCTTAGTCTCCAGAATGACATCATTGCTCTTCAGTACCCTGGAGAAGTCCCTGACAGTGTACTTTCCCAATGCAATTCATCTTTTGCTTTCCTGGCTGCTGGTACCGAGAGCTGCTATGCTATAGATCTATTAAAATGCAAACAAACTCATTGCCTTCAAGTTGGAATTAGCTTACATCTGACCCTCCAGTGGGTTTTCAGAGGCTGCAAATTGTACGGGAGGAAATCCCCCAACTTTCTCCCATAAAGCAGCTAGTGGATTAGAACCACCTGTCTTTGGATTGACTATGCAACTCCTTACCTACTAGGCCACAAGAGGGATAGAGGTCTACTTGCATATAGAAACTGCCTGCCATATTTTAAACATCTTCATCTGATCTTGTTAAACCTCAAGTATGGCTTTTAAAATATTGGCCCAATTAGTTATATTCAAATGCAATACTTTTATGATCTAATTCTAGGGGGTCCATTGAAATGCAAATGGATATTGTTGGGAATTATATTAAAATACTCCACATTGTGGAAACACTGTCTTAGGAATTATACTTCGATAAAACCCCAGTAAGAGCAAGTGCAGCATCAATGAAGTAACAGAGGGGAAACCAAAAAGACATCCATGAGAACAGATCTAAAGCGAGAACACAGCAGTTGTTCACCCAGAGTGGCTGTAGACTCAGTTCAAACCTGCATGTCACCCTGCACCCTTGCACTCTCACACCTCACCCCTCCTGCAAACAAAGCACATAGGCCTGGCGTAAGGAGGACAAGGTCCCTATTACTCACCCTGCACCCTGGGACCAGCGCCTGACCACAGTTTCCATAGCTGCCTGTCATTGGTCTAGCGGCTGGAGGATGAAAGAAAGATAAGAGTTACCAACAGCCTCTTCTCCAAGTCCTACCCTGATGCTGTAAATGTTGCAGTAGGAGCTTTGAACAATCCACATGGCTCCGGGCCATGGAGGGTCTTCCCATGATCCTAAGTTCATTTCTGTTCCCCTCTTTATGGGAGGTGCCCACTCAGGTAGAGTGATCTCTTTGACCTTGGCCAAGTCTGCACTTCCAAAGAAATGTGGCCACAGCTCACAAGAGGGAGGGTAATTAGCTAATCCACATCCGGACCCTCTTTATACACTTCTGTTCTCTGAAGGAAGCTCCATTTCATTAAGTCCACGTGACCTTTGGTGACAGGCCCTTAAGAAGTGTGCATCAGTTGTGGCCCACAGTCATTGTTGAGCCCACAGAATCTTCTTGATTTTAGAACCTTCCAAGTGGGAATGCAATGCCCTCCCTGTGCTCACACCTCCCAAATGCCCGTATGTTCTGTGTATCATTGTCTCCCAGATGCTACCATCTTCCCTGTGTTTGTAAAGGTGCTGAACTAAACAGCACAAAGCAAAATACAGAGCTATGCTCAGCTCCATCTGGTATTGACGGGACATCAGTCAAGGTCAGGGTCTGCAAGATGAAGGGTGAAGGCTGTCTCTGAAGCCTTCTAGAAATAACAGCTCAAGCTCGGCCACTCTGGATGGCTAGGAAGCAGGGAGCAGAGAACCTACTTACAGCAGGAAGCCTGGCTCCTGCCCTTGACCCTGGCTCTGACTTGCTCGATGACCTTGGGGAACTCCTTCAGACCTCCCCAGGCTGCTCTGTGGGCCCTCTGGCTCAGCTTTGGCAGATTCCTGGCTCCAAGGTAAGTCTAGGCTAAGCCACCAACTCCCTCTGCCACCTCCACCCCCTGGTTCCCATGGAGGCCGCCCCAATCTGTTTACTCGGCTCCCCCTGTGCAATTTTTCCACAGCCGGTCATTGAGAACACAATGCCAACTTCCCCCAAGGAGGCGCCCTCAGAGCCTACGCCCGCAGCCAAACACGGATGTGACGCTGGAGCCAGGGCCTGTGCTGATACCCAGGCAGCTCTGACATCAAGGTCCTGGGACCTAAACCTTGCCTTCTGGGAGAAGGTACAGAAACCTGGGCCAAACTGAGGTTCCATCTCCAGATGCATAAGTGAAACCCCTCAGCAAGTGATCCTTCTCTGAGATGAAGCCCGAGCTGGCTGCAAGATGGGTCATATCCTGTCCCACAGGGCAACCTGCAGCCACTTAAAGCCTGGGCTTAAGAAAGACCCTGTGCCTCCCTGAGGCAGCTGGAGCCCCTGTCTCAGAGATCCCAGACACAAAGGGGCCGGGAGTCCCAACAACAAGTGTTTCCTGCTGGAGCCGGCCCCGAGCCAAGCACAGCCTGGCCACACAGGGTCAAACTAATATTTGAGGCACCTTTGGCCTCGGCCTGCTGCCGTAGGGCAGACACATACTTGGATTGGAAAAACTAAGACACAGATCTTAAGCATCACTGGGTTGTTTTCTGCTCCTAAATTTTACACTGTCATTGTAAACATAAAAACCAAAAAACAACCTAAATATGGAAATAATTAGAAAATAAATACTGTTAAACATTTTTGGATACATGCTCCCAGACTTTTCTAGACATAGATATTATCAACAGTCAGCTTGCAGGGTGGACAAAGTACAGCTAAGGACTTTGCAGGGCTTCGCTCTGTCCTCAATGGATGGTTCATCTGGGCCTCAGAGAGGTTAAGGGATTTGACCAAGATTTCACACTTGTTTTTAGTGGATCCAAGAGCGGAGCCTCAACAGTTTGGCCCAGAGTCTCTGTGCTTAAAACCACTGTGCTACGTTGCCCGGCAACACCAACATCTGCTGTTTTGAGGTAAAGGGTGGAGCCAGTTATTTTTCCTGGAGATGAAGGTGGTGCTTGCCACTTACAGAGTCCTTGCCACTCTCTAAGGATTGTTAGTTTCTAGAATTCTAAATGGGATTGGTGAGGGTCCAAGTTCCCAGGCATCCTCTTCTTTGAGCCATTGGGCTCCTGCCTTTGGTCCAAGGAAGGCTCCCTGGTTCCTCCCTCTTTGGCTCCCTCACTTCCGGTTCCCTCCTCCTTCCCCCGCTTTATTCCCTGTACCACCAGCAGCAGCTTTATCCTCTCACCTTCCTTGTCTTTAGGTGTGAGATTTCCGTCTCCTTGTCTGCCCTTTCTCAACTTTTGGGATCATTTTGATTCAAGCTGGCCCTGGGCATTTGGTAGGTCTGTCTACTCCAAAATGGTGTTCTCAGGGGTCAGGAAAGTCACCCATCTATTTATCACATGCAAAAGATGAAGTTGACCATTGCATAAGACCATTATTATAGCATTCTGATGCTGCAGAACTTGGAAGGATGCTTCAGCTCATTTTAGGCTGTGCTGTGAACTGTGAACAGAAGCAAGAGTATATACAAGCCATTATGATGGTGGAGGAATCTGTTCAACATGTTGTCATGACAGCCATTCAAGAGTTGATGAGCAAGGAATCCCCCGTGTCTGTAGGAAATGATGCCTATGTTGACCTGGATCGTCAGTTAAAGAAAACTACAGAGGAGCTAAATGAAGCTTTGTCGGCAAAAGAAGAAATTGCTCAAAGATGCCATGAATTGGATATGCAGGTTGCAGCATTGCAAGAAGAGAAAAGTAGTTTATTGGCAGAGAATCAGATATTAATGGAAAGACTCAATCAGTCTGATTCTATAGAAGATCCTAATAGCCCAGCAGGAAGAAGGCACTTACAGCTCCAAACTCAATTAGAACAACTTCAAGAAGAAACATTCAGACTTGAAGCAGCCAAAGATGATTACCAAATACGCTGTGAAGAGTTGGAAAAAGAGATCTCTGAACTTCGGCAACAGAATGAAGAACTGACCACTTTGGCAGATGAAGCTCAGTCCCTAAAAGATGAAATAGATGTTCTTAGACATTCTTCTGATAAAGTGGCTAAACTGGAAGGCCAAGTGGATTCATATAAAAAGAAGCTAGAAGAACTTGGTGATTTGAGGCGGCAAGTTAAGCTCTTAGAAGAGAAGAATACTATGTATATGCAGAACACTGTCAGTTTAGAAGAAGAGTTAAGAAAAGCAAATGCAGCACGAAGTCAGCTTGAGACGTATAAAAGACAGGTTGTAGAACTGCAAAGTAGATTATCTGAAGAATCAAAGAAAGCAGATAAATTAGATTTTGAATATAAGCGACTGAAAGAAAAAGTTGATGGTCTTCAAAAAGAAAAGGAGAGGTTAAGAACAGAAAGAGATTCTCTGAAGGAAACCATTGAGGAGCTCCGCTGTGTGCAGGCCCAAGAAGGGCAGCTCACAACTCAAGGGTTGATGCCTCTGGGAAGTCAGGAGTCCTCAGACAGTCTGGCAGCAGAGATAGTTACTCCTGAAATCAGGGAGAAACTTACTCGTCTTCAGCATGAGAATAAGATGTTAAAAATTAACCAAGAGGGTTCAGACAATGAAAAAATTGCCTTGTTGCAGAGCCTTCTAGATGATGCAAATCTCCGCAAGAATGAACTGGAAACGGAAAACAGGCTGGTGAATCAAAGGCTTTTGGAAGTACAGTCACAGGTTGAAGAACTGCAGAAGTCTTTACAAGATCAAGGCTCAAAAGCAGAAGATTCAATTCTTCTAAAAAAGAAGCTTGAAGAACATCTAGAGAAACTTCATGAAGCCAATAATGAATTGCAGAAGAAGAGAGCCATTATTGAAGATCTTGAGCCAAGATTTAACAATAGCTCATTAAGAATTGAAGAATTACAAGAAGCTCTACGGAAGAAAGAGGAAGAAATGAAGCAAATGGAAGAACGCTATAAAAAATACTTAGAGAAAGCCAAAAGTGTTATTCGTACTTTAGATCCTAAACAGAATCAAGGAGCAGCCCCAGAAATACAAGCTCTTAAAAACCAGCTCCAGGAAAAAGACCGACTGTTCCATTCATTAGAGAAAGAATATGAAAAAACGAAGAGTCAAAGAGAGATGGAGGAGAAGTATATTGTTAGTGCCTGGTACAATATGGGAATGACTCTACATAAAAAAGCGGCTGAAGATAGACTTGCTAGTACAGGCTCGGGGCAGTCATTTCTGGCTAGGCAGAGACAGGCAACCAGCACAAGAAGATCTTATCCTGGCCATGTTCAACCAGCCACAACAAGGTAGAGGAGTGTTGCCATTAGAAAGACAAAGCCACCTGCATCAAAGCATACTTCTGTTACATAGAACATTTCAGGAGATTCAGCCAGCTTGGTTTTTTGTCTCCATTCTCTGTTAATATTTAGATGTTTCTCATTTAAGGACCTTTTTCTCACCTCTGTGTCTATAATGGTTTCCCTTCTTTGTCCTTTTTTTGTAGTCTTTTCAGTTCCTTTTAATGTGCCAAAATTTTTAAATTCCCAGTTAAAAGTGTTGAATAAATAGTGTAATACTTTTCTTTGTATGGAAATACCTTCTCCAATGATGTAGGCTTTGTAATGAATTAAATTTTCTGCCAATTAAAAAAAAAAGACCATTATTATAAAAAATAGAAAGATAACTAGTTAAATATGTATGGGAGAGTCAATGGGGGAAGGGGTGGGAGCAGAGGGGTGAGGATGGGTAGGGGTGAAATCACAGGGTTGCACAATTTGGTGGGTGGAAGAAAGTCATAAAGGGGATGAGAAAGATTCGGTAGGGACCGGAAAAGACAGAATAATGGTGCCCATAGTCCATGGTGATTAATTTTATAAAATATGATGAATGGGAATGATTATGTGAAACACAATGTATATGAAGTTTGTAAGCAAACTAACATAATAGTTTTTTAAAAAGATGACATTTAATCCTAACATCATACCATAGACAATAATGAACTCTGAATGGACCAAACATCTAAATTTAAAAGCAAGCACTATGAAACTGTTAGGTAAAAAGCATGATGGTAAATACCCATGACCTTGAACTAGGTAATGTTTTGTTGACTATGACACCAAGAGCATAAGAAACAAAATAAAGCAGATAAATCTGACTTAATAAAAATATATGGGGAGCTCTGGTGGCCTAGTGGCAAGAAGCTGCAACTACAATCCCAGAGGTGCACGGTTCGAATCCACCAGATGCTCTGCCGGGGAAGGAGGGGCAATCTCCTCCTGTACCAGTCAGATCTGATTTGACGGTACACACACACACACAAATAATAAAATAAAAAAAATATATGTGTCAAAGGGCGTTATCAAAAGAGTGAAGAGAGAGCCCAGAGGTTGGGAGAAAATATTTGCAAATCATAAGTCTGAAGAATCTAACACCCAAACACCACGGGGTAAGCAGAGTGAACCTTCCTTTCAACCAAAGATTTTCTGGGAGGGTGTGTGAAAGTGAAAAACATTATTTAGATACAAAAACATAAAATTAGAGAATGTAAGATTTATACAAAATTTAAGTTATGGCAAGGGTTACTAAGATGTTGAAAGCCTGAATCTAGGTTCTTTGGTGGATGGAGAACACAAGTTCATGTTCTTGGTCTTCTGTCAATTAGGAATTTGTTTGGGAGCGTTTTCCACAATCTATAGGGATATCTATGGCAGCAGCAGTCAAGAAATAAAAAATTAAAACAAACAAACAGAACTCAAAAAGCACGTTACATTGAAAAAACTGCTGTCAAATACTTTTTTAAAAAAAATTAATTTTATTTTTTTATTATTTTGTGTGTGTACCATCAAATCAGATCTGACTGGTATAGGAGGAGATTGCCCCTCCTTCTCCAGCAGAGCATCTGGTAGATTCAAACCATGTTCCTCTGGGATTGCACTGCAGCTCCTTGCCACTAGGCCACCAGAGCTCCCTCAAGTACTTCTTTAAAATGCTCAGGGGAGTGTCAAATGATGCAACCACCATGGAAGGCAGTATGGCACTTTCTAAAAAAATTGCAAAAAGAAATACCATTTGACCCAGCAATTTCATTGTTGGGAATATACCCTAAAGAAACCAGAACTGCCACCCAAACAGATATATACACACCCGTGTTTATTGCTGAGTTGTTCACAATAGCAAAGAGATGGAAACAACCCAAGTTCCCATTAACAAACGAATGGATAGAGAATTTCTGGTATATTCACACAATGGAATACTATGCTGCATTGAAAACCAAGGAACTCATGAGATATTATACAAAATGAGTGACCCTGGAAGACATTATGCTGAGTAAAATATCTCAGTTACAAAAGGACAAATACTGCATAGTGCCGCTGTTGTAAAATGGGACTGACATTGGGGTTGGGGGGAGGCTGAGAAAGATGGGATAAATTATGTGTACTGCATTGAAAAAAGATGAGGGATAGAATGTCTAAAAGGAATATTTGATTAGGTATTATTGTCATGACAAGAGTCTAGAACAAAGGCTGTGTAGTGGAGTGGACTTGGGGAGTAGATTGTATAACATTGTAAGAATTTTTCTTTTACTTTTCAAAGAGAAGAGTGAATTGTGGGTAGGGAGAAAAGTGCAACAATGAATGTATGGAAATCCAAAGTCTCTG